AATTTGGGAGATTGATTACAATAAATTCAGAGTACCTGTTTTCAAATGTAATTAGGTTGAAGTCAATATTGGCTTATAACGATGAACCTTTTATCATAATAATAGTTGGTCAATAGTGCTTCAAAGCAAACTTATGTTCGATAAAGATGAGTTTCAATCATCTGACGATCTATCGTTCTCCTTAAATAGTCCTACTTCAACTAAAGACAATGAAGTAGATAATGTATATGCCACACAACATGATCACGAAGAAGGAATATGGAAAAATAACTAAAAAAGACATATTACAAGATAGTTGTATAAGTTTTCTTATGTTGTTAATAATGTTTACATTGATATTTTTACTTATATTTTAATGTGCTTTTATAATATCTTTAGTCTAATGTATGTAGATATGTCTCATTCAATTGTGGCAAAGAAGGGTAGACATGTGACATAACTAAAAGATTTAATTCTTAGTCATACCAGTGAGTAGAAGATTCGCATTGAGTTTGACAACTCAACGAGTAATCCAGTAGGACCGAATTGGACAACATTCAACAGCAATTTTGCACTGCTAGCACGTAGTAAGGTCAGCATTTTAACTAAGGATTAGGATGAGGTAAAGATACGTGTGAAAGACCAAATACAGCAATGCATTATGGTAAATCAATACTTGATCGACTGATGTTTTAAACTTATAATATTTTTAAAATTATAGTTAGTTGACATTTTATATGTTTCCATTGTAGCTGACTTATGATGTTCCTAATGTTGACCCTTTTAAGAGGAAGTGGTTGTCATTTGCGGGAGAACGTTGAAGGGCATTCAAGACATACTTGAATTCTGAGTTTGTTTTTAGAAGCCATAAAGATGTGTCTCCTTGTCAAGAATATCAATTCATTAATGAGGACACATGGAAGAAGTTTGTGAAAACCTGACTTGATCCTACTTTTCAGGTTTGTTCACCACATTGTTATTTTTTGAATTCTTTATATTACTACTAATATACTTAGGTAACCTTATTTTATTTTTTTATAGGAGAAAAGGAAGAAAGCACAGACAATTCAGGCAAAGAATTGTCACCCCCACAAGTTGTTACGTGGGGGTTATGAGTTCCTTAAGAAGATGATATTGGAAGAGGAAATCAAAATTGGCCAAGCTTCTCACTCAGACCCCTCTGGGGTGGTCTCTCTTTCATTACCACCTACACGTCACAAAAAATGAAAGAGAGCATGTCAAATTGTGTCAGAAGAGTACATTTCTAATCAAAGTCGTGTAATTGAGAAAAAATTATGAGTATTAAATCCTTTACCTTTTACACTTAATCTTATTTGGTTCAAAATATTTGTATTTAATTAAATGAATATTATTCATTTCATAGGCTTCTTTACTAAAGCAAAGTTCACAAGGCGCCTTCACACCTATTAGACGTCAAGACATTTTCTGTGCTGATATTGGTCAACCAGAACACCCCGGTCATGTTCATACTGCTAGATGGGGTGTAGGCATTCATCAGTATTTTGGCACAAGTACCTCTAAGAAGAAAGGAATTGTCACATGTGAAGAATTGGAAGCAATCAGAGAGGAGATTAGACAAGAGCTGAGAACTGAGATTAGGTAAGAACTTTCCTATTTGGGTCTCTCTCAAGGAAACACAAATCCATGCACCTTTCCTGAGGCTTCTTGTCCACAGGAGCGTGTCAGCACATAGGGTAGTTATGCCCTATTGGACCTCAATAACGATGATGCCCCAATCAACTAATGCAAATTATTTGTAGAAGGTCCTATACGACTAGTGGCATATGGCACAGTGCACAACCTAAGTCCAAAGATACACCATCAAATAATAAATTGTGGTACTCTAAGAGTGGTGGTTGAACGGGTTGAAGTTGTTGAGGCACTTGCTCGTTGCCAACAGATGAGGTCAAAACAGTAGGGGAAGCCCCTAATCATTTCATCCTCTAGCCCAAATACCTCATTCAATTGCCTTTTGATGAGGTACACTATCTTTCATTTATTCTTTATATATTTGTTATTTAAAATTTGCCTATATATATCTAATTATTGTTAACATTGGAAATTGTTTAGGAAATTGTTGAAACTGCAAAACCTTTTATTCTTGAAAATATAAAGGGGCAAGAACTTGACATGCTTCAACGTTTATGCCTAATGGCAATGAAACTAGGAAAAAAACCTATGCAGTTGGAGTTTGATGCTAGAATAAATGGAAATGGTTCTTCAATACCATTGTACCTCACATAGAAGGACAATATGGAGGTTGCAATGAGTGAGGCAATGCTTTGCATTTCAGTTATTCAAGCATGGTTAATGTAAGTTCATTGTTGTTTTTTCCTATAATTTGTTAATAGTTATCTTAAATCATTAATATTTATTTTTATATTACCATTTGGTAGTTATCTACATCAACATGCGATTACAAAGGGTGTGGATCATTTGTATGGCTTCCTTGACGCTCTTCAAATTCAGGGCTTAGGAAACAAGCATGAGTCTATTTAATCATATATTTAGAAGAGGTTGTGTGAAGGAATGAAGCATGGCTACCTTACACTCTTCTATTACGGGTATGTTTCTGCAAATTAGTCTTGTTATATAATTAGTTTTACAATTGCTAATGTGGTTAATTTGGTTTATTAGCAACATTGACAATTGTTTATCATTTATCCAAAAAGTAACAAAGTCATTTTCTTATGCTCGTTATGCAATAAGCCCAAAAAAGAAATGAAAGCCATAATTGATTTGTAAGTCATCTCCACATGTATTAAATTTGTTTCACTTAGTTACATGTGCATAAATATTTACCTAACTCACTCCTTTATAGTAATGTTCATCATGATTAGACCTATGGAAGCATGTAATCTATTGGAGGATAAGCATGTGAACAGAAAGAAACCTACATGGATCTGTCCACGTGTATGTTCACCACAGATAAAAAAAGAGTTGGGAGAGTGGATATTATGTCATGAGGCATAAGTTAACTATCATCACAACTAGCATAACAAAATCTTAGGCTTTGGTAAGTATGATAATTGAATATAAGAACATAAAATACTTGTTTATTTACAATTATAAAGCTAATGTTTATTTGTTATTTGATTTTGTAAATATTTGCATATTCTGATCCAATCCCTGAAAAGGAGATTAAAGAAATCAGAACACGCTAGACTTCATTTATTTTAGAATATAGTTCTTCAAATTCCTTGTAAACATTGTATTGATTACAATTGATTTATATATCAAATTATTCTTTTTATATATAATGAAACGTGGACGTTTTGAATCTGAAACTATGTGAGATTTTCCTATAATTTAGGTTTTGTAGATATTTATTAAATAAAAATATACTTTAAAAAATATATATACATTTTGCATCGGTTATAGGTTATGACCATAACCGATGTAGAATGTAATCTTTCTACATCGATTATAGTCACCACTGATGTAGGAAGATTATGTATTCTACATCGGTTGATAATTAATGTAGAATATCACCACTTATTACATTAGTTGTATCTACATTGGCGTAATAATTGATGTAGAAATTCCTTTTTAACCGATATAAAACCCATTTCTGTACTAGTGCGACTAAAAATTAACAATCGTGGGTTCCTGCATTTTGAAGAGTTTCATAGCCATAAGGAAAAACTTAGATGGTGTCAAAAGGAATGTACTTTGACACATCTTACATGAAAACAGAAACCTCATTTCTTGATGAATAGGACATATTTCGAGAAGTTTTCAAGGTTTTAGAAAAAGCCTTATTTCATGTTGAAAAGGGGATAACATTTCGAGGAAGTTTTTGAAGGTGTTTAAGCCCGAGATTGAAAACACCTAAAAAGTAGTCAAAAAATAAAAGTGTCTTGGACAAACTTTACTGCAAAGTCAAAAAAGTTTTTCAAAGAAGTCATTCTAAGTTCAAAGAAAAAGCAGGGTTCAAAAGGTAAAAAAAAACATGTCAAAAAGCTGCAAAACATGAAAATAGCCACCTTACCCAACCAATAGTTATCAGTTGCAGATAACAGTTAAAGAAATTATCACCCGTTGAAGATCATGACACAAGAAGCACGATCATGGACATTAGCAATTGTAGAAGAAGCACAAACATGGGTGATTGCGGTTATAGAAAAAACACATGTAGGAGGCAGTTACTAAGACGTGCCACGAAAAAAAGAGAATGATTGAGTTGCATTTGTTTATAAATAGTATCTAACTTTACAGCCCAAGAGACAACTTTTTACACTAAACACCAACACCTAAATTCTTTGCATGTTAAAGTTCTGCATTGAGGCAAACATCGACAATCAAGAGATTGACAGTTCTTGGTATTCGTAGCAGAAGTTGTACGTTTATATTTTAGTCATTTAGATTCAATTTTAGTTTGTTTAAGTAATTCCTTGAGTTTAGTTCAATATTTTTTATTTATTATCTTTCTACTATTTCCGGTTAGTTATATGTTTTACGACGTTAATCGAGTTATTATGTTAAAAACATATTTAAAGAACTCAGAAAAATTTAAAATTCAATCTTAGATTGCTATTGAATTTATTTGTTTACCCCCTGCAAATTTCACACGTAAACAAGACGCAGATTCATTATATATTTCTGTTTCTTCTTTCTCAGCACACTTGATCTCGAATTTTATTAAGAGTCGGCATATTTTTCAAATTCATTCTATATTTTTCCATTAAAAGCAAGAGTCGGCATATTTTTCAAGCTAAGTTCGAACCTCGGACAAAGTTTTTCTTTTTATCTTATTGCTAGCAATTGCCGTCTAAAGTATTGTGCAGCGCATATGATTCTGATTCATAAAAGTCTCCAGACGCGACAAAGACAAAACTGTGGTGGAGATTAGCAACGCAGGCGCAACAATAAACAAAATCACTGTCTACATTAGAAAACGGGACATTTTGAACCCAAACAAACTTTTTACAGTTCCTCAACTATGATTCCAAACTACATTGCTTCCTAATTGCACCAAATAAAGTTGTGTATGGTCCATCTTACTTATTAGCAATATCAATCACAGACAAGTAGAGAAATTTCGAAGAAAGATAATAAAACATTAGCACCATCAAAAACAATTTGGTTCCCAATTTTGCCTGTAATAATAGACCACCACACCATGCCAATGCACCCCAGCCTGACACATTCCTAACTGCATAGCAAAATCAAGTAATATATACTGAGATTTAGTGAGTCGTTGTACATATATATGTTCTGAAAATCAAAGTTAAATAAATTAATAAATAACACACAAGCCCCTTCACGTCCAAGCGTGACCCAAATTCGAAGAAATTAATAAATAAACAATTCTTTCCAAAAATTCAAAAAACTATTTCCCCAATAACATATGGACAAGTGGATCTGTCAAAGGCTCATTTAGGAACCTGAAATCACCAGCAAGGAAGTTACTTCTAGCTTCTAAAGGCTGTAAAGTTAAATATTGCAATCCTCATCATTTTGATGCCCTTGTGATAAAGACAAGTTCTATCATCTATCACTTACTGAAATCAAACGACAATGTCTTCTGAATGTGCTCTCTGAAAGAAAGTGGTGAGGAGGGGCATGACTTTGAATCAATGAGGAATGATTTCAAGTGTTTGGCAAATTCTTTGGATTTCTCTATGTTCAGCGCATGCCCTGCATTCTTGATCACTGCCATTTGTGCACTTTCCCCTATATGACTGCTCCAAAGAGACATTCATACTTACTAGTTTAAGATAATGCTTGAATGTGAATTACAAGTAACAACATCAACTTCTACTCAATTGAAATCCCACCTTTTTAATCTGTATCCTAATTCCAGAGGGAATACCTGATCTTGTTCTCCCCACAGGATTAGAGTGTTCTGCTCCAATGTAAAACCACAATTTTGTAAATATTCAATCAACTAAACATTCGGAAGGTTAAGCATATATCCTGTCTACCTGCTTGGAATTTTATTTCTGTGAGATAACTAGAAATCAATTAATGCATATCAAAAAGAGAAGAAGGCTATTATTTTATACAGTTTTGTAAATCTCGACCCTTATAAATAGTTTTCTTATTAAAACATATATATATATATATATATAAATATTTATATATAGTATGTATTATACTTGTATATTTTCAAGATAAAAAATAATATTTTTAATAAAAGTTTACTTTTTAAGTTATTTATCTTCAGTTCTAATGACTCAACATTTTCCTATTTATACACAGATGATAGGTATATATTTTAAGTATCGGAGAAATCCCTTCCTCCAACCTCTTTTATTTGTATAGTGCTGCATGATTTCTAGTCGTAAAAACTTAATATGATAGAACACAAAACAATAACATGCTACTAAATCCAGAATCCTAGTTGTTCATGTCTGACCAAGGAAGAGAAAAGGAATATTTATACTTTTGTCAATGTGTTACAATAAATACCTGATTGATCTTTGGAAGATCGGAAAGCTGACGACCTTTTAGTATTGCCTCAAGCAGCTCTCTCTTCTGTTCAATGTGATTTGTACACATCACCTGTCCAGAGTAATAAACACAGACATGATTAAAAATAGAGGTGTGACGTCTTAAAGCAATTAATCCTGAAAACAAAGCAAACCTTACCAATAATTATGGTGAATTCTTATATGATAAAGTTTGTATTTCATTCTCAATACTATAATAATATTGTGTGTGTATATATATATCATGTCACTTAAAAACACTAAAATATTCAAATTTAAGAGAAATCAATCCAAGTTTAAGTCAAGGCATACATGAATGAAATCTTCAAGGAACCAAGAAGGCACACCCCTAGCAGGCCTCACAAACGACAACTTCAACAGTTCCCTGAGCTTATCTGGGGTTTGTGGCAACAAAATGCTTGAAGCCTCATCCAAAGAGGAAACCCTAAACAGCCCATTTTTCATATCAATTTCCTCCAAACAAACCCCAGCACAACACAGCACCAACCTCTCCACCGCCTCAGGGAACTGAGCAGCCACACTATACCCCACAAACCCACCATAGCTGATCCCCACCAAGTTCATTCTTTGAACCCCATGAACCTCCATGAACTTCACCACACACGTGGCCTGAAACGACTCCGTTCTCTCAGGCCGTGACGTGAAGGACTCACCGAAGAAGAGAAGATCCGGCACGTACACATTGAAATGCCCAATGAAGTGCCGAATGTGTTCCCCATACTGCCACATTGCATTGGCGCCAAAACCATGAATCAAAACAAGAGTGGGCTTGCATGGTTTGTGCAATTTGGGTACCCAACAATGCATGGTGGTTCCGTCACCAAGGTCGGTGGCGACGGAGCGGAGCCCCGCCATGGCGAAGGAATGACGGTAAAACCAGTCCCTTGAAGCGGTGAAGCTGAAGCATTTTGAAAGTTTAGGCAACATGGAAGATACGTATTGTTAATTAGAATTGATGGGAGGAGGAAAAAGTGAAACTTCGTATGAGCAATGTCAATGCTTGTGAATTTATAGAAATGGTTGTGAAGAAAAAGAAGTGGGGTGGGTATTTTAATGCACGTTATCCGTTTTGTTGTCGAATATTTGTTGTATTATCTGGGTGTCGTTAATGGCAACAGGGTTGCTTGGGATATCCGTAGTTGAGAATCAAAGAAAAGCGTTTAGATTGGTATATGGAAAGTGAAGATGGTGATTGGTGTGCGAAGAAAACGAGATGGGGCCAGCACAGCGGGAATTTGAATGCAAGAAATGCGGGTTGCCAATTCATGTGACAGTTACATGCAACTCCTACGTTTCTGTTTTGTTTTTCCTTACGCATGCATATTATAAGGCAAAAGCAAAATAAGCATGGACACAACATTTTGAGTATTTGACACCCATTGAAGGATGTACTTCACCTTTGTCACTGAAGTGAGAAATAAAAATTACGAAAATTAAGTATTTTTAGTGTAAAATTTAGATATTAATTTTTTAAAATATACAACTCTATGTCCTATACTACTTTTAAAAATGTATAAAAAAGTTATGTTATTACTTGTATGTTTAATTTTTTTTCTTAGAAAAAAATACTTATATCTCTATTTTTTCTGCAATTATTAATGTTTTTTGAAGTATTTTTGTTTAAAAATTAAAAATAAATTAGACGTTTAAGTGACAAAAAAGTTTCTTGATATGTTTACCTTATTCTTGAAAAATATTTATTTACGTACAAGTAATAATATTTAATGTAATGATAATCAACAACTTTTTTAAAATGATTAACACACCTTTAAATTTATATTTACATATAAGTAACAATATTTAACGTAAAGGTGATCATCAACCCACTTTTAAATTTCTATTTACGTACAAGTAATAATATTTAACATAACGATAATCAACAAATTTTTGAAAATATCAACACATTGAATAAATTTATATTTACGTACAAGTAACAATGTTTAATGTAAGATAGATTATTAACGCACTTTTAAATTTATATTGACGTACAAGTAATAATATTTAACGTAAAGATAATCAACAACTTTTTAAAAATGATTAACACACCTTTTAAATTTATATTTGCGTACAAGTAACAATATTTAACATAAAGATGATCATCAACCCACTTTTAAATTTCTATTTACATACAAGTAATAATATTTAACGTAACAATAATCAACAAATTTTTGAAAATATCAACACACCAAATAAATTTATATTTACGTACAAATAACAATGTTTAATGTAAGAGTGATTATTAACGCACTTTTAAATTTATATTGACGTACAAGTAATAATATTTAACGTAACGATAATTAACAACTTTTTGAAAATGATTAACACACCTTTAAATTTATATTTACGTACAAGTAACAATATTTAACGTAAAGGTGATCATCAACCAACTTTTAAATTTATATTTACGTATCAGTAATAATATTTAACATAACGAAAATTAACAAGCTTTTAAAAATATCAACATATCAAATAAATTTATATTTATGTACAAGTAACAATATTTAACGTAAGAGTGATTATTAACACACTTTTAAATTTATATTTACATACAAGTAATAATATTTAACGTAACGATAATCAACAAACTTTTGAAAATAATCAACACAAATTTATATTTATGTACAAGTAATAATATTTATCGTAAAGGTGATCATCAATCCACTTTTAAATTTCTATTTGCGTACAAGTAATAATATTTAACGTAACGATAATCAACAAATTTTTGAAAATATCAACACATCGAATAAATTTATATTTATGTACAAGTAACAATGTTTAATGTAAGAGTGATTATTAACGCACTTTTAAATTTATATTGACGTACAAGTAATAATATTTAACGTAATGATAATCAACAACTTTTTGAAAATGATTAACACACCTTTAAATTTATATTTACATACAAGTAACAATATTTAACGTAGGTGATCATCAACCCACTTTTAAATTTCTATTTACGTACAAGTAATAATATTTAACGTAACGATAATCAACAAATTTTTGAAAATATCAACACATCGAATAAATTTATATTTACGTACAAGTAACAATGTTTAATGTAAGAGTGATTATTAACACACTTTTAAATTTATATTTACATACAAGTAATAATATTTAACGTAATGATAATCAACAAACTTTTGAAAATAATAAATACAAATTTATATTTACGTACAAGTAACAATATTTAACGTAAAGGTGATCATTAACACACTTTTAAATTTACATTTACATACAAGTAACAATATTTAACATAACGATAATCAACACGCTTTTCATGATAATCAACACAATTTTAAATTTATATTTACATACAAGTAACAATGTTTAACGTAAAGGTGATCATCAACACACTTTTAAATTTATATATACATACAAATAACAATATTTAACGTAACAATAATCAACATGCTTTTAAATTTATATTTACGTATAAGTAATAATATTTAACGTAACGATAAACATGCTTTTAAATTTTATTTACATACAAATAACAATTAATAACATTAAAATAAACAAAATCTTTACTATTTAAACGTAATTTCAATTACATGTAACAAAGGAAACAAAACAAGTCATGTTTGTTGTAAATTAAAAAGTGTTTTACATACTTTGAGAAGGATGCTTAAAATGTGCCTTTTGTGTTTTGATTTATATTTTTGGAATGTATGTAAAAGGTAATAAAAAGTAAAAATAAAAATAAAATAATTATATATAATATCACATACAATAAAATTGTTATCAATTTTAGTTTGTTTTTTTTTTTTTTTTGTATAATGCATACTTCCTAGAGTCTTGTTTACTGGTAACATTTTGTTACTTTAGATTGAATGTCCATTCGGCGATCTAGTACTGAAAAATATAAACGTTTTTTCAGTAGTTTGTGAAGTGATAATATTGTTTCATTAATCTCATGATAATATTCTCTTACTTGTATATCATAGGAATAGAAAAGAAAACACATGTACAGTAGTTGAGAAATGTATAACATATTGGGAATCGTGTTTTAATCTGTTTTAAAAATTGTATTTAATAACATTAGAATCAGATAATTATCTATTAAAACTTAATTTCAAACACATATTTATCAGTGAAGTCTCATTTGTATGAAAGATAAAAATTATCATGTTATATTGTAGGCTTAATTGCATTTTTTATGTCTATATTTTTTTTGTAAGCATCAACATTTTATTAAAGATAAAATCTGAGTATAAGAAATATTCTCACTCATTACATTTTTAAAGAAAATTAATAATACATGTTAAGAGATCATTAATTCATTTAATATAGATAATTGAGTTTTCCAAAAGTCTTGCTACGAGCCACTTCTAAGAATAATACTTAATAGAATCAAATATTTCACTAATATTTAATATATTATTATTAAAGATAATATTATTCTTTTAAAATCAAATTGTTCGTACTACTACAAGTCATATCATTATAGTTTTTTTCCATTTCTTTTTTTATATTAAATTTCACATATACTCAATAATGTCTCATGCAAATTATCAGATAAGTATATGCTGATATCAAATCATTCGAACATCATGTACCATAGTCTCATAGAAGTATTACAATGCAAAAAAAAAGGTACATTACCTCCTCATCTCTATATTCATCTCTATATTTTACCATGTATATGTACAATTTTGGTCTCCTTACTTTTAATTATTCATGTTTAGTCTTTATAATTTTTTAAATATTTAAATTAAGTTTCACTCTAAAATTTTATCCAACAATTAATAAAAATATAACAGTTCATTAATTTATACATATAAATAAGGAAAATATATAAAATATTTAAATAAAAATATGAAGTATAAAATATAATAAAAGTCTTAATTTTGAGGTGACTAAAAAAATTAAATATGAATAATTAAAATTAAAGGAAACAAATTGTTAATAAGGGGTAAAAATGCAATCAATTATATATTGTATTTGTGTATGAAATGCATCCATTCGAAAAGTCACGTTTACAACAATTTGCTGCTTTAAATAGAATGTCCATATGGTGATCTAGTAGAGAAAAACAAATATGTTTTTTGTAGTATGTGAGGAATAAATCTTATTTCGTCTAATCTCATTATCATACTTTTAACATGTGAGAAACCGTGCTAAAAAAAACAAATACCATAAATTAACGATAGTTAATATTGCGAATACACACATATATGTATATATAGAGATGAATAAGTAATGTTTCAATAGAATAGACACAATTATTTGTCATAATTCAAAAATAGTCATTAAATAAATCAAAGTAATATGAGCAACCCAATAAAATTATTACAATACTACCTTATTTCAAATAGCAAAAAAAAAAAAAAAAAAACACTACCTTATTTCAAGAAAAATTGTGCAAAGACTTTGCCTACGCAATATATTTCTAGATATAATAAATTTAAAATAAACTCAAGAAAACTCAATTCTATGCTTTGATGACAAGTGTCACTCTTTGAATCCACCTATATAACAATTGTCATGCTTTGACCTGATCAAAGATTCGTAAACTCATTAATATTTCAACTTTGGGCTACTCTTTATTGCCCAAAACAATTCACTTTTATTTTCATAAATATTTAAGAAGTTGTCAAACAAGATTACATGAGAAACTGTATAGCGGAAAACAGTGGACATGCACCCGAATTCTGTTTATAACAATAAGATATTATGTAATGCCCTTTATTTTCCTCGTATTTCATTACAGTGGTCGTAGGCTAAAGCTACATTTTCCATCATGGTCTTGAAAAACAGCTCCAAAACCGTAAAACATATCTTTTACCCGATCATCGTATGGAAATTTCCATTAAACTATTTGATGGCTGTATCTGATTAGATGGGTTAACGGTATTTGCATGGGTTATAATCATCACGAAGTATTTAAGACATTAGAACAACTTGGAAAGGCTTACTTTGGCGCACACTTAAAAGCTTTCATATAATCCAGTAGTGAAAATAAAACATTTGGGCAAAAATTTCGTCTTACGAATGACTGTAACATTTACTTTAATTCTTTATAAATATGAATATGAGTCATCGGTTAAATAAGTTTTTTAAATTTAAATTTTGAAATATTAGTTTCTAAAATTAAATATCGTCAATTAATTGTCATATTAAATTTTATATATATATATATATATGAACTTTAAACGACATCAATGTATTTTGTGTAATATTTTATCTTTTTTTTTTTTATCCGTTTGAATTCAACCACAAAATTAAAATCAACGAGTAAGCACTGCACTATTGGTCCAACATCACTGATCCAAATAGTATTTTTCTTTTACTTTTTTTTTTTTACTTTTTTTAAGTCAAATTTCACTCCGTTAAACTCATCTTCTTCTCCTTCTTCCATTTATAATCACACTCATCTTTCTTTCTTTTTTCACAAAGTGGTTCTAAATCTTAAAACCTCACTCTCTCATGCCCTCCAACAATTTTCCCTTTTTTCTAGCAACATCGTTTGGTCCTGTAATTCTAAAAACCTATTATTCAATATACTCATGTCATAATATCTTATTCATGAACAACGTTCATGTTCACGTGAGTGAATCTGAAAAAGATAAAAAAAAGGATATTGTCCAAATAAGAAGTTTTAAATGGAGGAGAATCATCGTATACAAAGACAATGTGTGGCGTTGAACTCCAACACTGCAAAAATTGTTATAACGTTAAGCAAACAAACACGAAACAAATGAAAATATCAAAATAAAAAAATAAAAAAGAAACAAAAGAAAAGAAAAAAGTTCCTTACTTTAAAAATCCATTTGTGAAAATTGAGAACATGAATATGCATGTAAATGAAGGTGAAAAGCAAATAAAATCATGCAAGGACAATGACGCTTGGTTGAAGAAAGATCTTCTTCTTCAACGTTAAGGCATAATCAACCATTACCTTTTGCTCAGAAAATGGCATCATTTTGACTTGTTTCTCATCTTCTTCTCATGGTTTAATTTGAAATTTTGAGAAGGAATAAAAAAATTATGTTATTTTAAATCCGTGTGGATGTCTACATTTATTTTTTTTGGAACTAAATTTTTAAATCTACAATTTTAAAGACTAACTTCAATCAGGTCGCATATTTCAAGAACTAAAGTGAGAGTTTATCCTTTTTTCAGCTAACTGGAAATTTTGATATCATTTAAGAACTGTAAATTAAATTAAAAGGTGAACCACGCCAAATAAGTTCGGAAGCATCTATAAAATGATCTCTTAATTCTTAATCTTTTTCACATAAAAGAGATAGTAGCTACTGTTACACAACCTTTCGCTTTAAATTTTCCTATGAACCTTCCATAACTTCTTCCAACAGCAGGCTACACCATTTGAGAAAGGACCAAGCTGATGAATGCGGCATCCCAAATAATGGCATGAGGCATATCTAACTTAGTCTTAGCCATTTCTTGCCCAATGCTATGAATATACCTCGTGGAAGCCCGAAGCTAAATGGTATATATCCTTGATCTATGCAACTTCAAAGAGCACAAAAATAGTGTCAATTAGGTCCCATTTCCATTTCCTTAAACATATTGGAGCATTCTTCTCCAAAGTGTTGCGAAGACTCCAATGTATAAAGACCAGTGAATTAGGAAGCCAATTATCATACCATATCCCTGCACTTTCCATCTCTAATGCTCCCCCATCCTCCTTTCCAAATTTGGTTTTTGGATCAAGGATTCTTACCGGAGCAGCAGGGTTGGTAACCCATTTGGCACATGAAAGATCCCTTAGGAAAATACTGCCCTTTTGATATCTTCCCCACCAAGAAAGTACGTAGGTACAATTTTCGTTTCCCTCCTCTGGAAAGCCACTTATGAGAAAAAGGTGTAGTTCTCATCTATATTAACATCCTTACACTCGGATAACATGTGATTTAATGACACAAGGCTCAAACTTGAGGCTTCTATGTGGTAGAAAGGGAGAGGTGACGCAACATGTGTAGGTCCAAACTTGGGGGCTTTTTTTTTTTTTTTTTTTAACAGTTAGAAAATCAATTTACACATCGCAATTGAAAATACATATTTGAATTAAAAATATGTAATTTAAATTCATTTATGTACATATATCAATTATATTTAACAGCTCAAATCAATTTCATTAAATCAATTCTACACGATTATAAATCAAACGGCCCCCCAAAATGCATTATTAAACAAGATTTGTTGTAACAAAATGCCCAAATGAGACCAAAAAATGGAGCATCCCATCGGCAGGCTCATCTTCTCTGTCTGCGATTTACCTTCATCATTTGGAAGGCATAAAGAGTGCAATAAAGGAGGAGAATCATATTTTCACAGCCAATTACATTCTCAAGCAGGAGGTCGTGTTGAAAGAACACCGTGTGTCAACTCATCAATTTTACGAGTCTTTTCTCAGCAACACTAGCAGTCTTATTCTGCGGTTCAAGAACGAGAGCATGCTGGAAATCTGCATGGTATGAGAAAATGACAAAGCAAAGGGAACAAAATTAAGAATAAATAAGGTGCATAATCCAAAAAATTATTGAATACACCTTATAAACTGATAAAAGTTCACGGTAATGGTGAACAATGAGCCAAGAGTTGGCTGTTTAAACTAAAGCAAAAATGGCTATTACTGGACACAAGATAAAGCTCGCCCTACATCAGTGCAAGTTTTGAGTATTAACTAAGACATCCTAATATCTACACTGGAGAGCTCTACCTCAAACGAAACCTTTTTCACCTACCCTTATTACTTTGCCAAGCATAACAGTTTCTCAAAAATGAAAAGATCTAAAGGACTAAAATAAGTACAGACCAAGTGGATTTAAATATAATTTTTCCTGACTCTGTATCATCTCCTGTAGTTAATAGTTTTGTTGCATATGTTTTTACTATCAGCATGCTCTACAGGATCCATAACTCAGAATCAAGAAAACAAACTTTTTAGATATTAAAAAGTTCAAACATTGTTGGACAGCCTACACAACATCAAAATTGACAAATGATGGCTGTTCTGAGATATATCCTTGTCAAGAACTCTCACAGCATTCCAAATTGGATTCAAATGACACGCAAGACAATTTTTAAAAATTGATACACACCTTTTAGAGCCTCCTTATATCGAAGAAGGGATTCTCTAGCAGTTCCACGTCTCAGATATGCCTTCACATTCTGCATTAAAATAATAATGCACAGTCTTGAATGATATTCATGTGCTATAGATGTACAGTGTCAAAAAACTAAAGAAATGTATATTGGAATCCAGTATACAATTAAATAAGCTCCTAAGATAAATACCCACAGGTGCAACCAGCCTTTTGATGTATTAGAAGATAAACATTTAGCATATTTTATTAGGAAGACCTTACCAATGACTTATGGTCATCACAGTTCTTTTATAAAAAAATATAATAATTTAATCATCATCATTATACATGAGATTATAGAATAAAAAAATTTTCATTATTTTTGTCACTATCACATGCCCATATTCTCACCTTCTTATCATGTAATATGGCCTTATCGCAGTCCTCTTCAGCTTGCTGAAAGCTACATAGTCCCAGAGTATACATTATGCACAGAAATGGTGAAACTACCAATTTAAAAGAACAGGAAAAACCCCATACCATCCTAACTCTAGGTAAGCAGCAGCCCGGTTGCAGTAGTAAGTTGCATTCATCCCGTTCAAGTTGATAGCCTCAGTGTAGAAATTGATAGCCTTATTCCACAGCCTTCCTTTGAAGGCGACATTTCCCTGAAGATATGCCTCTTTTAGTGATCCATGCACATTCTGAAAACCTACCACCGTTCCAAAACCTTTTCCCCATGTATAACAATATACCCTTCTTGAGAAGCTTAGATTCAATTATCCACCCAAGATTTTAAACCAAAAGCTGCTCTCAAATCACACTGATCCCAGCACACATGTACTGAATAATGACAACATTTTATGGATTCCTCAAGGCTGAAATTTTTACTTTTTTTTTAATGCGATAATCCTTTTGTTATTCAAGAAAAACTTCAACAAATAATTGACTTCCAATCACAAATGATTGAATAATACCACAAACTTCAAAACCATTAATTTTCACAAAAAGGTTCAAAAGAACCCTGAGAAAATACTAACAAGCAGCAGAAAACCTCCCCTTCTAATAATATTCTCAAATTACAACACAGCAGATTATAACCAACAAACAATTTGAAACATAATAATTTAAACGTAATATTAAACACACAGACAAGTGTTTCCAGAGCCATTACTTTTTCACTCAAATCTCAACGAAGTCACTTTTATCATGACATTTTTAATTTCCTGAAGTCAGACCTTGTCATCCATCAGAGTATCACACATGACTTATCAAAACCCCTTTTCAGTTAAAGCAATCTCTTGCTTCTGAACATCAGATAGGATAGGATTTAAACATAAACTACTAAATTCAACTTGAGTCAAGCTTTAGAAACTGAGCTCAGGATTAATTAAAAATTTTCCTTGGAATGATTCAAATTATAATGTTCAAAATGTTTAAAAAATGAATTTTACAATTTAAATGATTCATAATTATTTATTAGAATTATAAATTCGTAGAAACATAACAAAAAATATATATTTAGTCAAGCTGGACCATGAACCCACAAATCAAGTATCAGGAGCTCTAGGTTGGCTTCATTAGTCATAGAACCCAACATTCAAGTTCACATTCATCATTAATCAAGTCTCATGGATTTTACAAGATAGACATTTACAAAAGAAATTTTATAAGGGATCCTAATAAACAAAATGCTAGACCAGAAAATATAGAAGAAAATCTGAGAGAACAGTAGCTGGATAGAGGCCCAGGTAAGCCCAAAATATGGTATGTGTATTCTAGAAAGAAGGGACTAACCTAAAAGGTCAAGCTGGCAAGCAGTTAAGAAGTTAGTCTAAGTCTTAGTTAGAAAGTATAAAAGGGAGTGAATAACCAAAAAGAAGGTAGGGAGTTGCTTGTAAATTTTGATTCTTTCTTGATTGAGCAATAAGATTCAATCTCATTATTTTATTCTTATCTTTTCTTTCTTATCTTTGAATCCTAATCAATGTTGTCAAAACTGCAATCAAGATTGTAGGATCTTATGATCCTACGATCTTCTTGAGGCTCAGCGATCATAATCGCATGTAAGATCAGAACCTGTTGGGATCACAGTGAATCGTGATCTCTCTCCATAAGATTGTAGGATCTGCAATTAGATCCAATCCTTTTTTTTTTTGGGGGGGTCAAATACAATGGTGTCGCATCGCAGTGGTCAGCTGCTATTTCAAGCATGTTGCATGGCATTTCAGTATCGCAGCTGTGGCAGATACTACAGCAGTGGAGACTGCAGCTTTCTGCACGTGTCTTATTGATCAATTCGCGTAAACGAGTTTCAAACAAAAATTCGTTAAGGACACAACCCTAACTAATATGAAAGGCTATGGATATAGTCTACATCGGCTAGTCATTTGAAGAAGAAAAAGACCAGCGTTAGGCCTCTTCAGCTAATAGATGTGTCAAAGACCGTTGCCAGGTTCAAGTGAACGCTCAGTAGCTTGAGCCTGGCAATTAGACCGGGGTTTTTTAAAAGCACAAAATTGTCCCAATTTTTTGAAGTTGCAGAACCATGTATTAGGAGTATTTTGGAGTTTTTACGTCAAAACCAAAAAAACTTTAAATGGGTTTAAAGAAACCAATTGCGCCTCTTCGCATTTTTGCACCCTCTTTTCTCTGACCCTCTAATACTGTGTGACCCATCAACTCAGTGGTCTTCGATGGCTTTCCGGTGAGCAGCTGGTGTTTCCAAACTAAGTTCTGATGTTTTTGGCAAACCACTGTTCTTCGACCCTTGTTCTGCATTTTCTACCTCTGTTTTTCCTTTTGTTTTGTTGTTGTCCCGCACCGCAAGTTGTTCTCCTCTCATTGTCCTTTTCTCTTTTTCTATTCTTATCTTTTTCTGTGTTTTATTGGTTTTGGTTTCTAAACTATTTTGTTCCTTTTTTTTTCTGTCTAAATCTTTCCCTATCCAGTTCTAGTTTTATTTGGTCTTTAATGTTTTGCTACTTTAAGGCATTTAATTAGAGGCTTAATCTTATTTATTTCCTTGTTTTTTATTGTTATATATTTATATATTTTTCTTAACTAGAAAATGTCATGAATTGTTTGTTAAATTATGTGATTTACAGGTTAATTTCTTCATCTATACTATTTTCTATTCCTCCATTTATAGGATCTTACTATCTATTTTATAATCCTACAATTTACAATCTTTTACCCCCGCCCGCTCCTAAGTAGGATCCCAATCTTGACAACATTGATCCTAACAACTAGTCCAACCTACCAGATATATTCCCATGTCAACAAGAATGAGTGAGAGGATCGATGTCCTCAAATCTAGGGTTCAGCAAGTGGAATCGGCGATTGTTGTTCTACAGACTTCTTATCATGAACAAGTGAAGCGACAAACAGCGTTTAGCAAACCAACGGAGGAAATGCGGTGATGCAACAAATGTTATTTAGAGAAATTCAGAAATTTTGCAAAATTAGAGAAGATCAAAGTAATAGAGCCTCACCAAATTAGCAAATGGGGTGTGTTAGTTTTGAGGAATTCCTTTGTCCAACCCAAGGTGAAACTTCCAGCTTTTGATCAATCCTACAAGATGGATTTGCAAGGTCAAGACTTACTTTGAGGTACATGAGACAACAGAAGCAATGAAGGTGAAGTTGGCCAAGTTATGCATGGAAAGAACCACTATACACTGGTTCAATTTGTGGAGAGAGGAGGAAGAACCTATGTGCGACAATCTCAAGTAGGCTTTGATTGTCAGGTTTGGCTAGGTCATCTTGACTATCCGTTTGAGTGTTGTTTTTGTTGAAACAGGAGGGTTCAATAGAAGAGTACATTGAGGACTTCGAGGTTTTGGCATCCCAAGTCCCCAAATTACCTAAAAGTCAATATTTAGGGTATTTAATCTACCTTCTTTTCCATTATTCACTCCCCTTTTATACTGTCTAACTACCAAAGACTTAGACTGCCTAACTGTTTGCCATCTTGACCTTTTACGGTCGGTCCCTTCTTTCTAGAATATGCAAATCATATTTTGGACTTGCCTCTATCCAGCAACTGTTCTCTCAAACTTTCTTCTATATTTTCTGGTCGAACACAAAATGCTAAAAGAGAACTAACCTTTTCCTTCAAAAGTTCAGAAGTTTCCACAGTACCATTTCTATCTGGTAGTGGCAAAGCATAAGCAACACTAGCTTGCTCTTGAAGAGTTGCATACATATCCAAGACCATATCAAGAAGAAATTTATCAGCTCCATGTGCTGAGATGAATGAAACAGAAACACAACAATCATTGTGATATCCTAATGGAATTGCAACCTGTCAATGATGTAAAAATCAATATAAAATTCAAGTGAAGTTTCAGCAAAATAAATAAAAATTGAGGGAAAATATCTTTCATTCTTCAGAGCCTAAAGATATCAAATTACCTGACAACATCCAGAGATACTAGCAATGCTAGATAAAGCAAAAGCTCTGTCATGAAACTCAGAAGAAAACCCTTTCTCCGAATTAAGCTTTAATGGATTGTCTGCAACAGTGGGAATAACTAGTATTCCATCATCCTGTGGAACAGTCAAAACAGATGTAAGTGCATGGCAAGGACAAATACAGTAGGCTTAACAAAAATTATTTGCCATTTCATAATAACCAGATATCTTGGTCATCTTCCAAGTTAATGAAATTCCATGTTAGAAGACATACCACTTCATCCAAAATTGATATGAAAATGCAATACTGGACTCCTAATTTATTTTCATGTTTTTCTTAACCTTGTATATAACAAGTTAAGAAAAGTCAATTTCAATACCAAAAACTCAAAAATGGAAAAGGAGGTTGACACCCACATATTAGACTCCTTTTTTTTTTTGGTGTAGTAAATTTAACATCATTTGAAACTTTATGCCATTACACTAGAGCATTATTGACGAAATAACTGCAGATACTATAGTACCTTTAGCAGACGTTGAAAAGCACCTCGCATCTCAGTTCTTACTTTATACAAGGTTTTTATATTATCATGTGTAGTATTCATGGCTGCAATAACACGATCAGACACACCACGCCCTAACCTGGGTTTGACAGATTTAACCCATTCTTCATGATTGGTTTTGAATTCATACCTGGAGCAGATACAAAATTGCAAATACAGGATTATATAAGGCCTGCAACAAAAATCTAAAATGGAATATACTTGTTAAAAAAATGGGTATATTAGTCATCAGCTATATGAAAAACATTAACTATAATGCAATACAACATAAATCCAAAGATAAAATATGAAGGATAATTTAGAATACCATTGTAAAGAAAACATAACCGAAGTGAGAGCTTTCAATACAGATAGTCCATTTTGTTGGGGTGTTGATTGTTCACGAAACCCTTTTAGACTGGGCACATTAGAAGCAATATACTGGCAGAGATTCGTATGCTTTGGAGACTGATCTACACAACCAGAAGAACCAAAAGATTTCATTGTTTATAATACACACAAATTTGCTTTTCATCTGGTCAAGACCTTCAGAATGCTTTTACCCTTATGAACAATCAAACTTAAATAATTTTATTAAGTATGTGTACGAAAGAATCATAGATTGGTCTTCAGAGGTCTGAAAACTTACAACCAGACAATTTCTCAATAGCTTTGCCAATGATGTATACTGTCTTCTGTGAAGGAACTTTAGATAACTGAAAAAGATCATCAGCGACAATAATACGCCTTGTCCTATTGGGCTCCACCAAATTCGATTGAAGTAAAACAAGTCCAACATGATGTAGGACAGATGGATCCCGGGCAAACCATCCTACAATGTAATTAAGCAATAAAGGAATAAACAGGCATAGAAGAAAATACTACAACTTTCTGTGTACCAAACAAGAGCAACAATGTAGTCCCTACTCAACACACCGAGCAGTAATCTCTATTTAAGGTATATTACACTGGGATGGAAACCAAGTCCTTCAGCATATGTGCAAGACATATCACATTGATTTCAGAAAGCATTGCCAACCATATTTTGTTATATAGGACTCATCTGTAAGTTTTATTAACCTATGTATTTAATTTCTTAATTTTCTCCATGTAACACTTGTCACATGGAAAAGATGATGCAGAATCTGATGACTTTTGAGAGATAAATTAAAGGTATATGTGGATAGTTCTAAGAAATAAAACCTCATAATACAGGACAAATTTAAAAGCAAAGCAACAAAATCACATAATTAAGCATCATACCAACAGTGTCCAAGCTTTGTGCATTTGGAAGAACCCCGATGGTGGATATAACCCCATGAGATGGTCGAAACCCAAGAATACCACAGAATGCTGCTGGAATTCTCACACAGCCTGTTGTATCAGTACCTATAAAAACACAATATTTTTCCATGTTCAGAGACTTATACAACTATACTTGAGAGACAAAATCCAAGCAAATAGATTTTATAAGCATTATATAATTGCAATTTGTAAGTGTCCATTAAGTCTATCATGGATCAAAAAGAAATAGACTATGCACAGCAAGTCATGCTGCAATACAATATGAAAGAGATCGCAAACACAGTAATAAACTATGAGTTGGAATCCAGAAATTCGTGCATTCAACTATCAGCATGTAATGTGTATAGATCACAACCACCATGGAACTGATTTTTCAATAAAGGTAGGCAAACTTAAACTCGTTTTTACCACTGAATAAGATTTCCAATTAGGAATAAGGAAGAAAAGTGTATATGTCTATATGGAATTTTTTTTTAATGAGAAATTTTAAAAAAAAAAAGGTTAAGAAGAAAGAATGAATTCAAAATTTGAATCTTACAGCTGCTTTGGTTGAAGAGGTGGCCTTATGATTTCAAATCATATTTGCATGCTCCCTCCTTCCTCTCAGCAACCAAATGAAGCAGCCGTGTAATTCTTACTAACTAAATTAAGATTCAAAACATCAATTCCAATCCAAACACTTGAAAATTGACAGATACATCGTGATGTTCTCGTAGAAAAATGATCCGTATGAGGACTATGGCAAATGAAGTACAATGAGGGAAACGCCACTTTTAAGAAAAGTTGGGACATGGAAATAAGTCAATTAACAGTACAAATCAAATGACTTAAACTGAGCAACAGACCAAATTATACACCCAGAAAGCTTAAAGGAAACTTTCCAGGAATCCAAGGCCCTATGCCGGTAAACAAGAAACAGGCGTTGATTGTTATATTGAACTGTATAGGCAGGCTAGTAACAATTAAGAAAAACACATTAGGAAATTAAAAAAGAACGATGATCAAGTAAACCTACCAATAGCAAAGTCAACAAGGCCAGCAGCAACTGCAACAGCTGAACCACTGGAAGAGCCTCCAGGGATATAACAGGGCATGTTAGGATTCATTGGCGTTCCATAAAACTTGTTCTCACCGGAAATCCTGCCACGCCACGCAGATTCCATACAGAATGAGTAAAGTAAACGAGATCACAAGAAAATAACAGTGACAAATGAAAACGAAAGGTTACATACCCAAACGAGAATTCATCCATAACGGTCTTACCAACACAGGTAGCACCGTTTCTGAGGAGAGCAGTGATGACAATGGCAGTCTTCCCAGCCTCCTCGTGCGTCCTCTTCCAGTCAGGGTTTCCGAACCCCGTCACGTACCCTTTCACATCGAATCTGCGACGATCATGAAAAATGAATGAAACAGAGCAAAAAACGAAGCAGAGGGAAGCCAAGAGAGAAGAAACGAACATGTCTTTGATGGCAAAGGTTAGAGCAGAGAGCGGTTGCATTTGGTTTGGCGGCGCAGGCTGAGGGAAGGGAAGAAGCTCAAAACGGTCGACGAAAGCACCGAAGTGGTCTCTGGATGGCTTGGGTTTCCGTCGCCGACGAGTCTCAGCGAGAACGACGACGCCGGCGAGTCCGATTCCGAGAAGGAGCCAGAGTTTAGGGTTGGAAGCATTGTCTTTGATGAGTTTAAAAGGTTTGGACATTATCATTAATTGATTATACAAAACAGAAAGGGTTTTAGTTTAGAGAGACGCTCGAACGGAAGAAAGGTAATCAACGCTATTGCTATCGTGCGCGGCTCCCGAATGAACTTTCAAGACGACACCATGCCAGAGCCCCCCGCGCCAATATTTATTACGTGTGTTGTGTGCGTTTTCGTTTCAAGAAGTAAATTATCAAGTAGACAATTAGATACAGTTTAAAACTTTATTTATTTATTTTATTTTGTATTATTATACGTTAAAAATTAAAATATCTCAAAATAAATTACATGATCTGGGAAATTTTAAAAATAATTTTAAGAAATTTTTTTTTTAAACTTATATCTCTAGTCTATATATGACACCGATTTCCAAATTTATTTTTATCTTTAAGTATGATCTTGAATATTTTCAATGTAAAAGTGTTTATTATCGTTGTTATGTGTTTATTATTATTCAGATTTTATATAAAATAGTTTATATCATTATAAATGAGAAAAGATATTTAAAACAAAAAAAAAATTAAGTACGAGTGATAACAATCGTTTAGAAGTAACAATAGACACACCAAAACCTGTTATAAATGATTATTTAGTATGATTATTTGTTGTTTTCATTTTAGGCTAATTACCCTTTGCCCCTTGTTTTTAATTAAAACCGTGTGACTTTAGTTTTGTTTTTTAACAAATTAAATCTATTTGTTTAGAAATTTGATTCTTTCATATTTAACTTTTCTTTTACTTAAAAGTAGTCTCAACTTCATTTTTGTTATTCAAATAATTAGACATTTATAATGAATTTAAAATAGAAAAGAAATTACAATGATTTAGAAGTTAAAATTTTAATTAAAAAATATTAAAAATAAAGTATTTAGTAATACATGAGATTGGGAGTTCAAGATGAGAAAAGAATGAAATTTTTTTAAATGAAAATTAATAGTTGATTTATTAGTTTTAAGAAAAAATATAAAATTATTTAATCAATTCAATTTATAAAAAATTTAGTGTTTTAAACAAAGAAAAGTAATACATAATAATTAAAGAAGTAACATGTTAAATTAAATAAATAACTTCTAAAAGATTAAAATCACACATTAATTGTAAAAAAATAATAAAATGTTTGTATTATTTTAAACAATTTGGGATATCTTGAGAGAGCAAAAGTTAAAAAAATGTTTAATTAAAATAATTATTTATTGTTTTAAACTACAATTAATGTTAATATTTAAAAATAACTTATTCGATAAAACAGTTTTTTTTTTTTTTTACAAAAGTGCTAAAACTCCAAAGACATCACAACTAAGACTTCATTTTAGAGGTGAACAAACCTATACTGTCTAAATTAAAATAAGGTCAAAGATACAAAGGAGCCATGTCAAAACAAGAGAAAGGGTTACACAATTCAAGGCCTAATTTGGCAAGCCTATCAACACAAAAATTGGCCTCCCTATATGCATGGCTGAATTTGATAAATTTAATCTTCTTAAGCAGATGCCTAATGTAACACCCTCTTTTCATTATTTAGAAAATTATGTTTTAATTGATATTAAATAGTATTAGGATGTGTTTAGAAGTGAATTATGAAGAGTTTTAGAAGAAGTGGTGCAGGGAATCTCGCTCAAGCAAGACTGAGCGCTCAGGAAAATGATGTTTCAGGGCATTCTCGCTCAAGCAAGATAATTCTCACTCAAGCGAGATAGGGAAAATTCAGCTCAACTGTCACCTCGCCTAAGGCGAGAGGGATCTCGCTTAGGCAAGCTGAAATCTCGCTCAGGCGAGATGAGTTGCTCAGGCGAGGACTCACAAGAAAAATATTATACTCTCTATAAGTCATCTCGCTCAAGCGAGCATACCAGAAAAACATTGAAAAACCATTGTCTGCAAAACTCACTTAGGTGAGATGTATCTCACCCAAGCAAGCAGTGCGTCGCTCAAGCGAGTTGTCCTCGCTCAAGCGAGAACGCACGAGATTGAGGGGTATTTAAAATATTTTCAACATGAAAATTTTATTTCATCTTCAAAAATCATGTTTTCTAACAATTCTGTGAATTCTCTTTTCCCTATTACAAAGAAAAGCTTTAGAAACTCCAAAACTTCATTGAATCCAAGCTCAAACTTCGACTCTACGGAATCATCAGTGAGTATCTCAAAAGTTTGAACTCCTCGTTTTCACTCCTATCTTCTCGGTTTCCTTTTTACTCAAAAAATACTCTTTCTATAAGGTGTAGAACTACCTTGGTTCGTGAACCATCCTTTTCTCACTTTCTCATCACCAAACTTGTCTTTTAAGGAAATGAGAGCTCTATCTTGTTAATAAGAAACTGTTGTGTTTGTGTTTATGAAAATGTGTGATTTTGAGTATATATTGGATGAGAATATGTTTTTATGATGTTTGAAGTATAATGTGGTGTTTAATGATATATATAGTTCGTATTCTGAGTATATATGCATTATGTTATGGACTGAGTCTGAGGGTGATCTATTCTCGGCAATAATTGATTAATGTATGATGTACTAATGAACTAAAGTAAAATATAGAGAGATGAGATAGAAAATATGAAAAAAGAAATGAAATAAGAAAGGAATAAGATAAGGACGAGTATGAATAGTTCAAAGGTACACTAAGAGTGTGAAAGATGAGGACGATTGAGAAGTCTTGGGAAAATGAGAGTGGTAGATGCTCCTATTGAATTGCGCAAGACAAATGAGAGTAAGAGCACCACAGGCCTCACACTCGTTTCCTAACTAATACTCCTTATTATACTTTTGCTAAAAGAGACCGGGTCAACACACGTTGTATTCATGTAGCTGCAGCTATCCAGCAACTATCTATGCTAAGAAAGACCTCAAGAGATCTCAGGGCAGTGAAAGAGAGAAATGAAAGTTTAAGTAGTAATGGACCCAAGTACAATAAGTTAGATAATTGATGATCTTGTTATATGATGATTGCATTATTTCTTTATCTGTATCATTGATTTACTTGAGAATGCATGCTTAGCTATGTACCAGGATGACAGCATCCACTGAGGGAATTAGGCTTGTATATTGTTCTGTAATTAATAGACTTAATTATGTATTTAAAGAGTATAAGAGATTTTGTTGCTTTAGAATCGTTGTGCATGTTAATGATGTGCCTAGGGATATTATTATGATGGAATTGGAATTAGTCTATAGTATTCCTTTTTATTTTCCTGTAAGTAGAGTACATCATACCCTTTGTGTATACACATTTCCTGGCACCGTAAGGACCCTAACAGCCTTGAACTACCTGTTTACATATCATGATCATAATCATCTTGGAAGACCATCTCGATGAACGTTTAAGCGGATTACTAGTACACAGGTTATTGTAAACTCAGGTGATCTGTATCTCGAATCAGATGATGATCTCAACTTCGATGATATCGAGATGATACAAGGATGGCACGGGATGACTAGTGTCTCTTCGATCTTTGGGGGATAGGTTGCTCATTAGGACTTGTTATATGTTGTAAATTTGTAAATAATGTAAAAGACTCCTAATGTATTTTGATGTAAATTTTACTAATGTTAAACCTCTGTAAATTCGTTAGAACAATGTATGTGTATATATTGATGTTATGTCAAGGCTTTTATTAAATTTGTTTAAATTTTCATTACTTTATATTTAAGTTTTATAATCTTGAGTAAAATACTTTATTATTTCACGTATTACTCTAATTGAGAAATAGATTTAATTTAATTCTTCCTTCTCGACTTCAAAACTATTTCCTTATCATACTTAATAAAATAAGGATGTTACACCTAATGCTAAGAATTAGATGATATAGAGGATGAAAATAATTTTGAACTGTAAGAAGAAGAGATATCGCTTGTTTGGAGTCACTTTCAATCCAAATGTTGGAGATATTATTTTGAATAACAAGCTGGAGACCAAGAAATATACCCCATAATTCTGCTTCAATGGGAGAACAGGCTTCCAAACAAGAGTAAACTCAGCCACAAATTGTCATTTGTCATTACGAATAAGGCCACCACAACTAGCAGTGTTGGAATTTAAAGAAACAGCACCATCAATATTAAGCTTCAGCTGCTAGAAGGGAGGGAGATTCCATTTAATTTGACGCTGGTAATTTGTAATAGTGAGAATCACCTTAGATTTGCCCCTACAGCCAAGTTTAAAGTGATCAAATCACATAAAATTTGATGAATGAGAGCAGTAACTTGAAGGCATGAACTTTGAAATAATGATGCATTTCTATTTTTTTAAAGATGCCATATAACAATACCAAAAGTCTATTCCAATCAATGAGGTTATTCCTATTATATCATGTCAGATTGTGCTACAGCCAGGTAAAAAGTCATTACTAAGAAAATAAGCCCAATTTTGATGGAGAATAAATTGTTTACAAACCTGTTTAGCAAAATGACAATCTCTAAGCACATACATGATAGTCTCAGGAGCATAATTGCATCTAAGATAGAAAGAATCACTAGCCATGCCTCTTATATGCCTTTTAACATTGGTCAAAAGCCTTTCATAAGCAACTTTCCACAAAAAAAGGATCACTTTGGGAGGTCATCCCATTTCCAAATCAATTTAAATAAAGCAGTATTTGAATTGAAATTATGATTATTAGCGTAAACCAAATTGTAGGCACATTTAATAGAAAAAATTCCATTCCTATTGGATTTCCAAAAAATAGTGTCCTGCACCCCAGTATAGTAGGGAGTTTTAAGCAGGAAATGGAGTCGTAGATTAAAGGGGGAAGATCATTTTTAATCATATTCAAATCTCATTCACCCTGATCAAAAAATAGAATAACAGGAGGCTTAAATCAGCCTCTAGAATAGGATGAAAAGCAAGGCTAGATATATTAGAAATGTGAGGACAATTGTCTGTCCAGAATTTAGCAATTAACCCATTACCCACAACCCAACCTAACCCTTGGGAGAAGATGTGCCACATAGAACACATGCCTTTCCATAGGTGGGAAGAGAAATTACTAGTGCCTAAATTGGGGATTTCGCCAATATAAAATTTGTATTTACTAGAGAGGACTTGAGCCCAGAGCAACGGGGAAGTAATCAATCTCCAATACAATTTCATTAAATAAGCTTAGTTAAGCATTTGCAAGTTCCTAAAGCTTAAGTCACCTTTAGACTTAGACTTACATCTCAGTCGATCATTTA